CAGGGCTATTGTCTGGTACTCCTGCCGAGAACGCATCCTCCGGCCCTAGTCTCAGGAAGCGATGTCAGGCACACCCGACAGAGGGGCGTCCTACAAAATACCAGATTTGTCCCTTCAAAATGCGCATGTCAGCAAAGATAGACACAGGACCTGTCCAGACAGAAGACAATTGGAGTCACGTGACAATCAAGGTCACGGGGACCTGAAAGGGTCCTGGGCCCCAACTCCCCTACTCTTCCCACCTCTTCTTATTGGGGACAGTGGCCACAGGGACAAGGGCTGAAACAGTCATAGACCAGACTGGGCATAGGGTAGGATTAATGTTCAAGTTGCTGATTTAGATGATGGTGCCCAAGTCGTGTCAATGAATGTTCTAGTTCTAAGGAAATACATGCGGAAATGTTTAGAAGCCAAAGGTCCCATTGTTCGCGATGTATTTTCAAGGCTTCAGAGAAGCAGCTGCACATATGTGTCTGCGCACATGTCACGCACAGTGAGCATGTGGAGCACCCGTGAGCAAATGTGGCCAATGATACTTGCTGCAGCGGGTGAATGTGGGTGAAGTTTATATGGGAATTCTTTATATTGTTCTTGCAACTTTTCTATAATTGCAAAATTATTGCAAAATACAGTGAAAAGGAGGCAGTGTGCATATGAAGCAGGCCTGGTGGATGCCGTGAGTGGTGCTCAAAAGTTGACAGGGTGTTGGGGTCCTCTCCCTGGAGGGTCCCCCACTCCCAAACACACCCCTGCAGCACCTCAGTACTGGGGCCAGAGGGTCAGCTGTCTTACTCAGTGGTGTAACTTTGGCCCGTCATTTCCCCTGGGCCTCAGTTTATTTAGTTGTGAGACCAGATAGAGAAGCCAGTCCCTTTGTGGTCCTCTTTTCCCCAAAGCAGACCGTGCTTCCCAAAGCCCCAGGAGGGAAAGGCATCAGGTGAACCAGGCATAAAAATGGGCCCTCTGAGAAGTGCCCTTTATTTCTTAGTTCAAGAAGACAGACGCAAGGCTGTGAGGGGTCCCCTGGATGAAATCTCCAGTTTGCATAACTTGGGGCAATGAGAGCCGGCACTCAGCTGTCTTGGGGCAGATACTGATATTTTCTTCTGTCCAAGCTGGTGGCTGGCATCAATGCACTCTGTGGCCAGTGCTCTTCTGGGCGAGCTCGTGTCAGGTCAAAGGTGGAGAGTCAGCCTGGCCTGGGGTGTGCCACGTGTCTCTGGTCTGGATGACAGTCAGTCAGTTCCCCACCACCTGGTTCCACATGCACCCTGACCCCTACCCTGGCCCTGCCCCCTAGAAGGTTTGGATAGCCACACAGCGCAGTAACATCAACACCTGGGGGGTGCTGGTAATGGCACAGCCAAGACAGGCCTGGGGAGAGAAGGGCAGGGGCTCCTGAGGAGCAGCTGTGGTGGCTACAGAGGCCTGGGAAACCCTGTAATCAGTAGACCGATGGGCCTGGCTGCCCTTCCCTCCAAATCTGAGTGGCACCAGGCCACGTTGATTCTGCAGCAACATTCCCCAGTCTTTCCGGCTCCTGCAGCGTGGCTCCCCGCTCACAGTCCTCCCTCGGTGGTGACGAGAGGCTGGCAGGCAGCAGCGGAGGGACAAATCAATCCAGCTGATGCCTGGGCATCAGAACTGCTGGGATGCCAGGACGCTCCCTGGCTCCCAGGCCAGCCGCAGAGGCCTGTCCTCCGGGAAGGAGGGCACTCCCAACCCCCAACTCCCTGCTCCTGTGCAATGATTAATACTTCAGGAGAACCCTAGGGCTCCAGAGCTGGGGGCCTTGGGAGAACACAGGGAAGTGGGAAATGTCTCCCGAGGGCCCCAAGCCAGGAAGGCCAAGTGGGGAGTGGGCCCCAGACCTGGCCCTACCCAGCAGGCAGGCAGCCAGTCCTCTTTTGCTCAGCGTGGGATATGAATATTCATGCAAGAGAGTAAGAGCGGGTTTACACATTCACAAGGGCCTAAGTGTGCACTGTCCATTAGATTTGACTGTTAATGACAAGAGCGATTAATATTAAGCTATCACTTAGCAGCCATAGGAGTCTAAGAGCTTGGCATGTATCTCATTTTCTGTTCACATGGAGGTAGATTGTATCAGCCCCGCTTTATAGATGAGCGAACCGATACCCAGGGCTGGACACAGCACGCCCGAGGTCCAGGCTAGGATCGGCCTCAGTCATTTGAAACTTGGGCCCCTGCTCCTAATCACCACCCCAATATCCCCTCCTTAAGAGGGTGCTCAACGGCACTGGAAGAGATGAATTATGTGGCTACACACATAAGAGAAAAGAGAGACAGGGAGTGAGCAGGACCGAGGCCCCACAGCCAGGGGCACCCCAGGCCCTCTGTGGGTAGTTCCTGAACTGGCTTGTGTGTAACATGAGAACGAGTCCACTGGAGGAGGAGCAAGAGAGATCTGACTGTCAGCGGCTCTCCTGCTTATGGAAAGAGGTCTGGAGATGAGGTGCAGTGAGACCAGAACTGTCCCCAAGTCTGGGCTCCCCAGCTTCTTGGGGTTGGCCAAGCAGCCTTTGCTTAGGCTGGGGAGTGGGGAGGAGGGAAAGCTGTGGGGGCCTCTGTCATGTCTCAGGCTGCAGGCCCAGGGCTCTTGCCTCCCAGGGTCAGGCCCTGTCCTCTGAAAGCTTTGCAAAGGGGCCCCTGAGGCACCCCTCCTGGTCTTTCTGCTAGAACAGCATTTGCTACAAAATACGTGGAAGCATTTGGGCTTAGTTTTTGGTTGGGAAGTGCCAATGTTTTCATTTGGAAGGGAAACTGTTTCTGTTGATGTAGTGAAGAGATAAAGCAAGACATTGTTCACCACCTCCTACTGTCCGAAAGTCAAGTGCTTGACTTGGGGGCAAGGATGCATCCTGGGATCCCCAGGGTCTGGCAGAAGAGCAGGCAGAACCAGGACCAATGTTTGTTGAATGACTGAGTGAGTGAATACACAAAGGGCCTAGAACCCTGTGTGGTATACGCTCAACATTCAGTAGGGGTTTTGAGTGGCTACAAAAGACTCTACCACCCAAAGGTGTTCTTGGTTTGCTCTTGTTTCTCCATCAACCCTGCGGCCTCTAAGACTCCCTCAGCTCTGGCCTGAGCAACTAGACAGCTCTGCCTGCCTGCCTGCTTCTGAGCTTGCCCTCCAGCCCACTCTGCCCACAACCACCGAAGTCATCTTCACAAGAGGCGACTGGGCCTTGTGTGGTTCATGGTCTGAAACCTTCTGATGACTTTCCATTGTTCATGGCTATGGCCTCCCAGGCCTCCCATGGTCTGCCCTGGCCCGCACCCCTCACCTCTCCTGGAACCTCTCTAGCCTCTTTTTGGGTACTAGAAGAAACAATTCTCTCCACCCCAGCGGCTCCCTTGGCCTGACTGCTTTTCTCCACATCTTCATGTCTGGCTCCTACCAGTTTAGGGCTTAGCTCAAGTGCGTCATCTCCTTGGAGGGGCCTTCTCTGAGCCTCCCACCTAAAGCAGCCCGTCTCTACTCTCATCTGTACACATTTCTCAAGCACCTACTAGATGCCAGGCGTTGGCTAAGTGCTGGGGAAACGGCGGTCCCCACAGGGGATGCCTGAGCCCTGACGCACCTTCGTTGCTCTCACACATCAGATGCTCTTGTTTGGGAACCTGTTTGTCTTTCTCACCAGGCGCCAAGAGGGCCTGGGCCGAGTCTGTCTTGTTCACAGTCAGTCCTCAGTCATCATTTGTTCAATAAACAAATCGATGGAGGCAGGCAGCTGGGCTGAGGGCAGAGCAGCTGAGGCTCCTCTGGAATCAGCTCTGGTGAGACGGCGCTGAGCTCAAGTAAGGCCTTGTTCAAAGAAATCTCAGTGTCGACTCCTGGTGAAACCCCGGATCCCAAAACTATGGGCAGCAAGTCCTGTCTTGCATCCCCCTGACTATGGTAAACTTGGCAAAGGCGGATAACAGCGGAAAGGGGTGACGCCTGCATGGGGTGAGGTGAACAGTGATCATTTCCTAAAAGGAGCCCCTACCCCCCACCTCACTGTTCACCCCCATGCCCACTTAGTCCTGTGCCCAGCAACACTCCAGTACCGCCCAGCTAAGGGTTCAGCTGAGGGGTCCTGCATGCCCGAGGCCCCTCACCCACCTGACAGCCTGCCTGCCTCTAATCCAGCCGCCTCACTTCCTGGCTGTGTGACTTTGACCAACTCTTTTTCCTCCCTGGAGCTTCATTTTCTTCCCACACAACTAGACACAAGTTTCCTGATCACAGCCCAGAGGCAGGACACCTCAGTGCAGGGATGGGGGTTCCTTTTCTACCAGCCCAAAAGAACCCCCGGGCCTTGTAAACACAGCCAGCAAAGCCAGCCCCACCGCCACCCCCCAGCTGGCCTGGACCAAGAAGGCGGTCTGTGATACCAGCGGCCCCTGCAGATCGGCCCCTGCAGATCGGAGCTGCAGAACTGCCGAGCTGGGGCACCCTGAAACCCGACTCCAAACAGCAGCAAATCCAAGGCCAAAAGGAAGTGCCGGGTTTTTCCTGTCACAGCTTGGCTGGGAGCCCTTGCTTGGGTCCCACCCGGTCCCCCATGGGGCCACAGGACAAAGATGGCCAGTGCCTGGTTCCTTATTTCTTCTAACACTCGGAGTCCTTATCCTCCCAGAACTAGGGAGAATCCCCCCAAAGCCAAGGTCACCATCAAGTCAGACTGAGGTTGGGGGAGGAGGTGACAGCTTTGCCTCAAAAGGATTTGGGTGGAAAGGTTTTCCCCACAAGTTGTGGCAGTAGGTATGTGCCATCGCACCCCAAATGCCACTTAGGGGCTGCCCCCTTCCCTCTTTTGTATCACCTTTGCTGAGAGAGGGAACGTTCTGGCCTCAGAAAAGTGCTTAAGAGGAGCTTAGCCCTGTCTGGCATCCAACCAGACCTGGAGGAGGTGGCTGGAGGCCTGGGGATGCTCCCCCTTCTCTGCTGGCTCCCACCAGCCCTCATCCCGCCCTGAGAGGGCACTTACAGGCCTCGGAGGCCAGAGAGGGCCTCGTCCTGGGGATCCCATCCCCGGCGGAACGGTGTTCCCCAACAGCAGCGGCGGCATGATTTGGGTGGCTGGTCCAGGTTGAGGGTTGCAGGTGGGGGGTGGGAGAGGTTGAGGGGGCGCAGCCCAGCCTACTCCAGGTAACCGTCGAAGACGTCCAGCTCTGAGTCGGCCTCGTAGAGCCCCGAGCCGGGGTCGGAGAGCACGCCGAGGTCCACCAGCGCCTGGTCCATGTCCTCGGGCAGGAAGACCAGGCCCACGTTGAGGACGATGTACTCCATGAGGAAGGCGTAGTACAGGATCAGCACGTTGACGAAGAACAGCCCCACGTAGAACATAGAGGGCAGCAGCAGCGGCGGGACGTAGGGGACCAGGGGGCCCAGAGCGTCCAGGTGGGCCGCGACCCGGGCGCCGGGCATGCAGGGGGCGGCGGGGCGGCGGGGCCGGGCTCCGATCCTGGCGACTCAGCCGCTGCGGCGCCCGGGCGGCCGGCGAGGGGGCAGCGCCGCCATCCGGGGCCGCCCCGGGGAGCGATCAGGCGGCGCTGGACCCCGGCGGTGCCTCCGGGGACGGGCGGCGGCCCCCGAGCCGTGCCAGGCAGGGTCACGGTCCCCCCCACCGACCCGATGTGCCCGCAAGGCCTCTCGATGCTCCGCGGCCAGGAGGGCCCCGCGGTCCGCAAGTGGCCAGCGGCTGCCCGGATCCTCCGACGCGCGCGGCTCGCGCTCCCCGGCCCTGGCGGCGCCGGCGGGGTCCCCACGGCGGCTCAGCGCGCGGGGCCGACCCCGGCCGTCCTCTCTGCAGCCCGGCGGGCCCTGGCCTCGAGCCCCCTCCGCGTCCCCGCGGGCCCAGCGCCCATGGCTGCGGCCGCCGCGTCGCCCTCCTGGTCGAGCTCCGAGCGCCGCCCCCGGAGCCGCCCCGCGCTCATTGGCCGGCCGCGCCCGCCGCGCGCATTGGCCGGAGCCGTCCCGGGGCGGGTACCGCCGCGCCCCGCCTCCCCCGGCCCGGCCCGGCCCTGCCCGGCCCGGCCCGGGAGCTGCTTTCCTCGCTCGCAGCTCCGCGCCCAGGTCACAGGCATCCGCTTGCCTGCGAGGGGGGGAGCGAGACCCAGCAGCGCCCAAACCAGGAGCCTCAGGCTGCAAATACTGAAGCAGCCGCGCGCTTCCTCTGCGCTTTGCTGGGCTTGGGTCCGCGCCAAGCCTCTCTGAGACTCGGTTTACCAAAGGAAACCAGAGGCGGGGCAGGGGCGGAAAGGTGGGCTCTGCCAGTGAAAATCTCCGACTTTCCCAAAGTGCTCATGTTTCGTGGTAGGGAAGATCCGTGTTCCCTTTAGCGCTCCAAATTCTGGCTGCAGGAAGGTCGGCCCATTGCGGGGTCTGCATAAGAAAGCCTGGGGACCCCTGAGTGAAGAGATTCCCAGGCAGGGCAGACTTCAGCAGTAGGTTTGCCTTTTGAGCGCTTCGGCTTTGTAAAGCATGTTTAAAAACATTAGTTATGCACCCGGTTAAAAACACTAAAACTGGGCCTCCCTGGTGGCGCAGGCGGTTGGGCGCAGCGCTGTGGAGCTGTCCGGAGCCCCTGTAGAGCTGGTTCAATCCCCGCCGGCCGCGGAGCAACCCACAAGGCGAGGCAGACCTCTCCTGTCTCCCCGCTGCTCCCCTCAGCAGTGTGTTTCGGTCAGTCTGCCTGTTCTGTTCCCCACTCTGTCTCTGTGAATTCTCTCACCCTCCCGCACATCTGGCCTGTACCCTGGTTCTTGTATAAATAAGATCAAAATAAATCTTTTAAAAAAAATTTGAAACAATCAAGAAGTGCACAGAAAAGCGAATTTCTCTTCCAGTCACTGATTCCCCCCCCCACACACCCCACCTTTTCCTGGGCAACCCTTGTAAACATGCTTCAAGAGACTGATCTTGTCTAAAGCACCTCCAAAGCCCTTCAACAAACTTTTAAATCTCAGATGAGCTGGGGCTTTACATCCAATGCTTGATTGAAGTCGTAGAGGGGCAGTGTAGTATTTTGTCCCATTTTACAGATGAGAAAACAGATGTCTGGAAAAATGGAGGGATCCTGGAAGCTGCAGGGCCTGAGTGCCTTTGGAAACCAGAACCTGCCTTTTTTCTCCAAATGACTGTTCCTTTAGATGAATTAGGGCAAGCCATTAACTCTACTGTTCTCCATTCCCAAACTAGCTGATAAAGGTGGAACAAAACTTCATTTATTCAGTCACTATCAGTATTTTTTGAACACCTATTATGCACCAAGCCTGATGCTTAGGCATTGGGGAGAACGTCGGCAACTGGCCCAGTTCTGTCCAGACCACAGTTAACAGGATGGAGTAGGTCCTACATAACTAGAAGGTGTAAATGTGAATGAATGAATGAATGAATGAATGAATGGTGAGCAGGGCAATTTTACCTCCATGGAGTTCCCTAATCTCCAACATAATTTTAGCTACATCTTGGCTTTTGTGGGAATTTGGATGCTTCCTGATTATTATCATTTGTTAACGTGGGATTTTGGAAATGGCTTGGATTTTGGGCGAAGACCAGAAATATTCTCTGACAGTACAGGATGTTCGGTTTCGGTAGGTCGTTGCTTGGGGTCTTTCAATGTTTATTTTTTAAATGAAGTTTGGGGGGCAGGGATAAGCGGGAGGCCGATTGCTGCCTATTTGTGCAGTTTGACTTACCGAGGAATAGTAATAAGGGTGCCTGGGATTGCAGGCTGGTTCTCCCACTTAGGAACTGCAGGACCTGGGGCAAGTCAGCCTCTGGGGTTCAGAGGCCTCCACGATAAAATAGGAATAATAATTGTACTCACTTCACACGATTGCTGTGAGATTTAGAAAAAATATATATATTAAGCGCTTAGGACAATGACACATAGTATAAGCCACAAAAATAGCTATTCTTATTCTCCTAACACTAATAACTGGTAATACCGCGGTTCTTTTTCTCACGCATCCTCACCGAGTCCCTCCCCGTAGCTCCGCCCACAGGTTTCCCAGCCCCGCCCCCTCGGCGCACACTGCGACTCTCCGCCTCTGGCTCCGCCCCTTTTGGAAGCCGGCAGGCCCGCAGTCGCGTGATGCACGCTGGGCCTTGTAGTTCCTTCGCAGAGTCCTGTCGGCAGGGGCCTCGCGGGCGAACTACATTTCCCAGCGTTCCTCGTGACGGCGGCCGTAAAGCGCGGCGGTCGAACGGCCGGTTCCGGCTGAATGTCAGTGCCGGGCTGTGGGCCGGGGAGGAAGGTGGTTGGCGGTGCCTCCACCACCTCCGCCGCTGCCCGATCGGTTTGTGCTGCCGCCGAGGGCGCCCTGCCCCTCGAACGTTCGGGCATGAGACCGTGAGGCCAGCGACGGGCCGGGACCGCCGACATGTTTGGCCGCTCGCGGAGCTGGGTGGGCGGGGGCCACGGCAAGTCCTCCCGCAACATCCACTCCTTGGACCACCTCAAGTGAGTGTGTTGGGGGTGCTGGGGGGAGGCCGCGGGGCTGGGCTTGGGGGTCGGGGCGCACCGCCCGGACCGGGGGCGCTGGGAGATGGAGGGCGAGAGAGGCGCCGGGCAAAGGCTGGAGGTATGCAGGGTTGTTCCGAGCGAGGGCTCCAGAGTCAGAGCGCCCGGGTTCGAACCCTGACCCCGTCGCTCCTCGCTGTGTGACCTTGGGCTAGTCGCTTAGCCTCCCAGAATCACAGGATTCCCCTCTGGGGGGTAAGGGAATGAGATCTCCGTTTATGGACCTTCGCTCTTGGGGGCGGGCATCGGAAGGTGGGCACCAAGCCTCCCGGAGTGGAACAGCTTAGGGGTCAGAGGTCTGGGTCCCGGAGCCCCACTTATGTGGATTAGCATCTAAGCGTGTGGATTTAGACTGAAGTGTCCTCGGTTATAAAATGGTTTTCGTGACCGCACCTGTTCCGTGCACTTGGTTCAAAGGCTGGACGAGAGAATGCACATGAAACTGGAAGCACTTACAAGTGCTCAGTGCAAGACAGTCATTGAAAAACAAACCGTTTGGGGGAGGATGTTTAAGGAGGGAGTATCCGAAGTAGAGCTCTGGAGGAGGACATGTGGCAATTGGAGTCCTGGGGAGCAGGGGGACACACAGTGGCTTGGTAGTCAGACCTGCATTCTAATCTTGATTCCACCACTTAATGGCTGTCTGACCTTGGACAAATGGCTTCACCTCTCTGAGCCTCTGACTCTCCCATCTGCCTATGGGGATGCTGGGCCAGGACTCAGTAATGCAATGCTGAGAAAGAAGTCAGTAGTAGCCCATGGTGATAGTTGTGTTTATCAGCCAGGCAAGGCCTTCCCAGACCACCCTTCCCCAGTCCCCATTCCTTTCTGGCAGATCTTTCTCTTTATTTCATTCAGTGCATCCCCACTATCTGCAGTTATCTTGTTTGTTTTCACTTCTTTTCTGTCTGTTGCTAAACTGCTACCTTTAAGGGAGCAAAGACTGCTTGTTTTGCTCACAACTGTGAGCCTCTATTCCTAGTATCTATTGCTATGCCTGGCTCACAGTAGGAGCTCAATGGATACTTAAAGAATGAAAAAATTGAATGAATTAAGGAGAGATGCAGAGCGTGCACACAGAGTGTTGGACTTGGGGGGGTGGGCGTGGAACATAGAGCTCTTTGAGGAGGGAATGACTTCAGGAAGGAAAATATATTGGTATTGTTGGAGGAGACCTAGGAAGGATGGGCAGACCTTTGGTAATAAGAATAAGAGGGAGTTCCTGAGATTACTAAAGGGAAGGAAGAAGGATGACGGAGAGAGGAGGGGAACAGTAGGAGGAAGGCAGAGGCCCATGGAAAGGATTGGTAGTAGAGAAATTAATTGGGGACGTCCCATTTGGCTGGGGCTGGGGGTGCTATGTTTCTTAGATGCTATCCTTTCTAGGGTAGAGGAGGCATGAATAAATGTTTGTGAGTCTCAGAAAGATTGGGGGACAGGAGGAGTCATTATATGGTGAGGGATGGTTTGGGGGAGTGGTGGTGAGAGAAGATTTAGGAAGGAGAGAAGCCCTGGACCAGGATGCAAGTGTATAGGGAAGCAGGAATCTTAAAGGCCAGGGCTGCTGGCCTGGAAAGGGAGGAGCTTAAGGATTTCAGGAATTTATAGTGGGTGGATGTGGCGAAGAAGGGGGAGGGTGGGAATCTATAGAAGTAGGGGGCTCCTGCCTGCACTCAGCTTCCTGCAGACTCTCAGCTAGCTCTATCTGAGTCTAGCCAGTCTAAATCACTTGAATAATTATTGAGAGCATTTTCGGAGTCAGGCACTTGCTAAGGACTTCCTGTGCATTATTTCCTTCAGTCCTCACAAGTCTGTGAGTTATAGGAACTACTATTGTTTCCACTTTATAGAAATGGAAACTAAGGTTCAAAGAGGTTAAATCACTTGCCCCAACGTGACAACAGCTGGAAAGTGTGAAAGCCAGGGTTTGACTTCTGAGCTTGCACTCTTGACACTGCCTTTTAAAATAAAACTTCCCTCTAAGTTAGTTTGGGATACTGAGCTGAGTCTGACCACCCAATAGGGCATCTTTGCCTTCCTGCCAGCCAGGTGCTCTTTGGAAACCCGAGCTGCCTGCCCTGGATCAAGCATATCAACTTAATCCATATTACAGCCTGAAGAACCTGGCGGGTAGTGTGTTGGTGTGGGGCTTAGAAGATCCCAAAGTGACTTGGACAGAGTGCCACCAACAGCTGGCAGGCATCCCCAGCACTTGTGCTGCTTCTTCCCTCTGGGCCCGGATGGTGAAAATCTTGGGCGCTGGGCCCAGCACAGTGCCGTCCCTGAGGGAGTTTGTAGGCAGCTGTAGAGCCAGTGACTGTCCAATGCCACAAAAGCTGGGATCGCCCTGGGCTCAGGGTTCTGCAGGAATCTTTCTAGGAAGCTCTCTGGGGAAGACACACCAGAACAGTCTTCACTGTGTGGGACAGCACAGAGTGGAAGGGGACCCGGGAGCTGTGGATCGTCACGGGGGGCCAGCGGTTGTGGGGAATGTGGCAGAGTGCTGTGGGGGCTTCCCCTAACATGTAGAGTGAGCGGCTGCCTCTGGGGGCCTGCGGCAGACCAGGTTCCCAGGTGCTGGGCCTGTCTATCAGTGCTAAAACTGGGGAAGTCCTGGGCAATAGTAAAAATCAGTCACATTATCAGTGACCAATGACAAGTAACAGTTCCTAACACACCCTTGCCTTGACTTAGGGCACTGGTGGTAGAGAGGCATGATTAAGATATTTAAAAGAATTTAGGATTTGCATTTTTTTTCCACACAAACCATCTGGGAGCCCTCCCTTTTAAAAATAGACTTTATTTTTTAGAACAGTTTGAGACTAACAGAAAAATTGAGAAAATAATGCAGAGAATTGGAAACTCTTTTTGAACACATTCTTCAAAACATCCCCAGCTTTCAAACTGAAAAGGACTCTTCCTGTTAGATGGGTTTTACTTTTGTTAAATAATGGAAAATACTTTTGTTAAATAATGGAAAACTTGCCACTCATGGTCTTGGTCTACCAGACTGAATTTGTGGTTAGTTGAGGCAGGGTGATATAGTCAGGAGGTTATTTGTTCCATCTCGTGAGTGGCTAATTGCCAGACTAGCAGCGAGGCTGTAGCGTTGATCAACATATGCCACCAGCAAGCAGAACCTTTACTGAAGGACTCGTTTGATTGCAACCAAAACATCACCAGAACTAGGAGCTGTGTGTCCACACACTGATAGAATTTTTTTGCAATTGTGCTGTGCCCTCAATTCTGATCAGCTTTGTGTGTGGGGAAAGACTCCTGGTGCAAGTGGCAGACACCCTGCTGGAGTTGCCTTACACCCCAGATGGGATTGATGGGCACCTGTCCCTGAGCAGTCTGTCCTGGCTAAACCATGGCTGGGGCCAGGTGTTCGCAGAAGCTGTCAGCATCTGCCTCGTTCCAGTTCTTGTTTCTTCTTCCTTCTGTGTTGGTGTCATCCTCAGGCAGGCTCCAGGCTCACATCACGTCAGCTTAGCGATTCCTGGAGAAGAGAAAGCTGCTTTCTGAGCCTTGCCAGCTCAAGTCTGGAAGTGAGCATCGTTGCACCAACCTGGGGTCTCACACCCATCCCTGAGTTACTGCGCAGGGGTCATGGGGTACTCCAACTGGCCCTGCCATGGAGGCAGGGTGGCATCAGCTTTGCCTAAGCACATGCACAGAGAATGCAAAATAGGGCTGGCCCTCCCCATGGGAAAATCAGGGATTCTTACCCCAAAAGAAGAAAAATGTTACCTACCAGGCAGGTGCTCACCCTCTCTTGGTATTTTCCACTTTTGCCAAAGATAGCGCTGATATTTTTAGAGTCTGGCATATAATATTGCCAGGTTTGCTTGCTTTGAATATTGTGTTCACCATATCACACATAGTGGGTCTGAGGCATCTGTGATGTCAAGTCCAAGTTCTTCTTTTGGGCCTTCAGAATGCCTCTGACTCTGGTCCCTCCCCTCTCTTGTGGGACACAGAGGTAGGTGCATTAATGCAGGCTGGAGGTCCAGAGCACCCTCGGCAAGCAGACAGCCAGTTAAGTGGAGGTCTGAGGACTGAGTGGTTGTGACCAGGTAGCTGCTGGGAGCTGGGGGGGTCAGGGGAGAGCAGGTAGAAGGGAGGATGCTTCAGGTATAGGAAACAGCATTTGGGAAGCCTGGAGGAAGGGACTCAGGTGGCTCAGCAAAAGGGTGTATGTGGGGTGAGAGGAGGTACAGGACCCGAGAGCAGAGTGGTGAGCTGAGAGGTCACCAAGCCAGGGCCTGCTGGGTCTGTAAAGCCTGCTAAGGGATTTGGTCATTAGGCCGAGACCAGTGGGAGTCCTGGGAGGGTTCTGAGGCACACTGTAGTCTGGCCAGTTTGGAAATGGATTGGAGGAGGGCCAGGCTGGAGGTTCGGCATCCACTTGAGGGGGCTGCTGTCTCTGTTAAGTTATGCTGTCACCCCAGAATATTTCTCCTGACATTTTGAATAGATGGTCCTTTTTCACACACTGTTACACACGCCTCACATGTTCACCTGTCTGTGTCTTGCTTTTTCCACTTAAGCTTCTGTCTCTTTTCTTCCTGCCCATAGAAATGCCTAACTGTACCCTGACAAGGCCAGTTCTTCCATAAAAATTGCCCTGGTGACTTCAGCCCATGCAGGTTTTCCTGTCTCTCTCCTTCGCTTGTCCTTACCCCTGCGCTCCTGCTTTGCTAGCACATGAGCACATGCAGCCTCCTCCTGAGAGGCAGGCCAGCTGGTAGGTGCTGCGAGCGCTTTGAGTTTTATTCCACCTCGAGTGGGATCCCCGGGCAGCTGGCTCAGTCTCGTATGCTTTGTTGTGTGTTTGTCTGTCTCTCCCTGCTTGAACCGAAGCTCCTTGAGGACAGGTCCTATGTGGCCCGTTCACCTGGGATTGTCAGGTGCCAGCACAGGGTCTGGCTCTCTCTCAG